TTTAAAAATTACATTTTAGTATATACTAGTAATGTATTTCTGTCATAAGTTCTTCAAGTTAAACTTTTATTTCCGTGGTTTGTAGTGAAGATCTTTCGAGTTTCAGTGCGTGTTTGATGGTAGTTTTTCTCAAACGCAAATGACTAAAAAGACTCTCAGAGCAGCTCTGGAGATGACGTTTGCGTGTTCATGTGCTCATATATTGAGACGAATGTCACGTGTGTTTGATAGCAGCTCTGAACATGAAACAGACACACAAACATCACACGAGTCCTACCTGTCGTAAGTCCAGAGTGATGGTGACCCAGTGGAACTGAGGGCCGTTTTTGATGCTCGGGCTCTGCCACCACTGGTTGGTGCCGTCGATGGCGCTAGTAATGGGATGTTGCTCTGTTCAAAATAATAAAGTGAAATAAAAACAACTGCAAATGTTCAAGAATAAATACTGATGCATCATAAATCAGGTAGGAATTAACTTGTCTCAGCATGTCATGTCTGCACAGATGTCTGATACTAAAGATAAATCAGAAACACTTTACTGTAACGTTGCATTGGTTAACTACATTAGCTAACATGACCTAACAATGGAAAAAAACATTTCTTAATCCTAGTTAATTTCTGCATTTACTAATGCATTACTAAAATCAAAAGTTGTATCTGTTAATATTATTTAACGGATCTGAGCTAACAGTCTATTGAAATGCATTTAGAATCATCAAAATTCAAGGCATTCTAAATTGTCTATCATATTTATATTAGTGCTGTCAAACGATTAATCGCGATTAATCGCATCCAAAATAAAAGTTTTTGTTTGCATAATACGCATGTGTGCGGTGTATATTTATTATGTATATATAAATACACACACATGCATGTATACATTTCAGAAAAATATGTTATGTTAATATATTAAATATATGTATCTATAATATAAATTCTATGAATATAAATATAGACATGGAAATACATGTAAATATTTTCAAAATATATATATATATATAAAAACATATACGTCACACATCAGACCAGCGCGCGAATGAAACATTTAACCGGCAAGGCTTTAAAACAGATGCAAATGATGCACTGTAGCACGATACAACGATATTTCTTCAAAAGCAGATCGTGGAGACACTTTTATCGTCCACGATCAAAAATCGTCATATCGCACACCCCTATCTGTACCCAAATTTAAGACCTCTTGAAATCATAATTAAGACTTTCTTGTACAATTTAAGACTATTTATGACCTTAAATTTGATACAAGTAAATTTAAGACATTTTAAGGACCCGCGGGAACCTTGTGTTTTCCTCAAAAACCTTAATTTCTTTTCGACTGAATAAAGACAGACATGAACATCTGGGATGATATGGGGGTGAGTAAATTATCAGGAAATGTTTATTCTGGACGTGAACTAATCCTAAGAGTGTCAGGGCGAATCTCGTTACCTTTGGGATTCTGGCTGTTTGCATCACAGATCCGACACTGAGGGTTACGGATTCGTCTTCCAGGAACGTGCTCCACCAGTTTACAGAACATCTCGGGAAGCGGGTCGCCACAGGTGGCGTTCGTGGTGATTTCAGCATTGCTGGCCAGGTTCAGGATAGCGGGAAACAGACCTGGAATGCCAAACGAAGAAGTGTTCTCTTTCTTTCTTTGAAGAGCGACATCCATCCAGCCATCCGCCCATGTGTCCGTGTGCCGCCATTCATGACACAAATAACTACATCTTGGACAATTGACCAAAGCTGGCCTTTGGTGTGAGGAGATAAGCATCATTACTGACAGCAAAGAGCTCAATGAGAGGGAACTGTGAAGATGAAGAGGATCTTCTTCCCTCCAGCAGGTCATGAGGTCAAAGTGAGCTTTAGAGCAAAATCAGTGCTGGGAGTTTTGTTCAACTACAAACACATCATGCATTTGATCATTTAGTAAAGTAACGCTGCAGGAAGATGAACATACTCAACTTTAATGCTAATTATTTTACTACTTTAATATGTATATTAGTTATTATAGGATACTTCGTTTTCAGGGTTGTTATAGTTAACTAAATCTAAAACTACAACCATAAAAAAACATTTTTGTTACTTGGACAAAAAGTTAACTGATATAAATAAAGTATTAAAAAACTTAAACTTATTTTATTTTAGCTAGTTAGTTACCAAAGTAACATTTCTCATTTTCATTTAAAGTTGAGGTACTAAAATAACTAAAGCTAAAATTGAGATAAAAATGAATAAAAACTATAAAGACGTTTAAAAAAAATTTAAAAAAAGCACAACCACTTTCACTAAAATTAAAACAAAAATACAAAATAAAAACAAATCTAAAGTATTAAACTATAAAAGTATTTCTCAAACTTTAATAGTATCTCATTTAGTTTAAGTTGATCTACTAAAAATAAAAACAATAGACATAAAAAATAAAAAAAAAACTAATAATGTGACAAACACAACAAAAAAATTACAAACTTTAACTAAAATAAAAAAAAATTGAAAAAAAAAATAATAATAATATTACAAAAACACTATAATAGCATCTCTCAAACTTTAATAGTATCTAATTTAGTTTAAGTTAACGTACTAAAATAAAACAAATTAATAAAAACCATATATACATTAAAAAAAACACCACATAATGACTAAAACAAACTAAAATGAAAATACAAAATAGAAAACTAAAAACTAATACAAATTTTTTTTTTAAACTAATAATAATACAACAGTATCTCATTTGGTTTAAGTTGATGTACTAAAATTAAAACTGAAGCAAAATTAATAAAAACTATATAGAAACATTTCTAAAACAATTACTAATAAAAATGACCTAAAAATACTAAAACTTAAATAATATGAAAACGAGAGCTTATACAAAAATAAATTCAAAATATGTTTTATTAAAGTTACAATAGTGTCTGACGGACTTCACAAACACCACTAATAATTAATATCAGTTAAAACAGCTTGAGTAACACAGACGTGTTTCAGACTCGTGGGAGTTTGAGGACTGAATGGACTCCAGCGGAGAAACTTCAAACGCTCCGCAGATAAAGAGACTCTGATGATGACTGAAGTCATTATGCGACTGCAGCGGCACATCTGGCTGCGTTTGCATGTCACAGACGCACCTCTAATCGCTGAGAAAAACACTTTCAAACAAACACATCTGTCGGCAAGAACTTCTCAACATCTTCATACAGCTAAATGCATTTATCCCATTAAGAAAATATGTCTAAATTGAGTTTTCAAGGAAATAAGTTAGATGTTTATAACACTACTATGAGTAGATTGACTTCTGATGCACTTTTATGGTTAAACGATGCTATAACTAAATCAACTAATATACTCACCCTCATTGAAATAAATAATATATAATATATAATATGGTTTCCTGGAAGATTATTGGAGTGTTTTATAGGAAATGCAATTTCAATCTTTTGACTTCAAAACTGCACGTTTAATTCAATGCATTATTTGCAGTTTCTCTGTAATTATTTGCAAAATTCACAAGCAATTTCTGAGTGAAATTTGTTTTTACAAAATCCTACACCAACGTTTTTCCAAGCAGACCGCATTAACTTTAACGCTCCACACAGAGGTCAGATTTACCCGTAAGCTTCAGAGGGACATGTTTTAGCTGAAGACGACGACAAGATAATTGCTCTGCTTCTTTACCAGCGTCTGAGAGCCTCATTCGGTGTGAAAGCGGGGGTCAGAGTTCACCGTGCGTTTACACAACAGCAGCTCATCACGAGTGACGTCTCAGACCCAAATGACTCTTTCTGGGTGGCTTTCAGTCGGGTTTAGAAAACAAGCACAGACATAAGGGAACAGTTCGGTTTTTCATTAGATCTAAGAATATGTTTGAACGTGAAAGAGCTCTGGAAGAGTTCAGGTTAAATCAAAGAAGACGTGCGAGACATCTGTGAAGATTAACCATCATCACAGAACAAGGATGGGAGGTAAAACATCTCCAAAAAATGAATTCCAGATACGTCTAGCATGTGAAGTTCTGCATGCATTGCTGATGAGATCAGCTCAAAGCGTCTGGATGAAGAAGCTCCAGGACAGACGAGAGGATCGGCTGAATTTGCATGTGAACAGACTCTGTAATCAGATGTAAGCGGAGCTGATAAGATCCTCACAATGTGATTCAGTCCATTCAGAGATAAACGGCTGATTGGAGAGAAAACACTCACAGACGGACGGATGCAGATAAAGACATCTGGAGCTACAGATGCTGCTTTAAAACTAAATATACTGTATTAAAGTACATTTACACTGTAAAAATGTTTTTTTGAAGATTATTGGCGCATGTTTTACAAGAACATACTCTTAGTCTTTCTACTTTGAAATATCATGTTTAATTAAGTGTGTTACTTGCCATTTCTTTGTAATTATTTGTGAAATTTAGGCTACTAGAGGCTGTTTCCTCACCATTTTTTCAATGAATTACAATATATTTTATATTATATTTATTATATATACACATTTTTAACTTATTTTTCAAATGTATTCATCCATAAATACAGTAAATAAATAAATATACAATTACAATTACATATATTTTATAATTGAATAACATTTATACGACTAATATATATATATAGTCGTATAAATGTTATTAAATTATAAAATATATGTATTAAAAACAAAATTTATATATATATATATATACACTGTATTTATGGATAAATACATTTAAAAAAATAAGTAAAAAATGTATATATAATAAATATATACACTGAAAAGTGAGGAGTTTGCATCTATGATAGATAGATAGATAGATATATATATATATATATATATAGTGTAATTCCCTGTAGTGTGAAATTATTGCCTTTCATCACCTTATCTGCTCTGGAACTGAGAGTCCATCAAAGTTTAAAGAACACAAACAGCCACGTTATTCATGAGAAACGTCAAACTGAGAGGCATTTATGGCCAGTTCACTAACCCGCTAGGACTAAATATCCAGGATTATCCGTTAATGGAGCGGTACAGAGCTCTCATGTGACCCGCGCTCATTCGCATACATTCAGCTGGAATAAACACACACAAGGCTCAGATGAAAGTTCAGCCGATAACATTTCAACTTCCTGTTCTCTTCACAGGACTGAGGTGTAAGCAAACACTCGCTGCTTTTATGGGTCACAGCTAAAACTACATTAGCGGCTTCCTGACCTCACGTGTTAAGTGTGTTCGACAAACCTGCGGGTTGAGAAATCTCGTTAATGTGGCAAATCTATGCAAATACTATTGGCATCCCGGCCGAACCCCCGGTCACGTGATATTTGCTTTATGTTAATTTAATTAGAGCATATGAAGCGTCTGCAAGTACAAATCGCTAAAATAATCATTTCTTTTTGTGTGCGAAAGTAACCATCTAACACTTACCAGGAGAAAATTTATTTTTGGGTGAACTGTCCCTTTAAGGCAAGCTAATCCCAGGTAAATGTTAAATTCATTACTAATTTATTACTTTCACATGCCTATAAAATAAGCAAAATATAGATTTGGATGGCCTTACAATCACATTCCAACTTTTACAATCACTAACAAAAGTGAATTACATGTTTTGCACATGGTAATACCTCATTTTGGGGCATGTTTTCAGAAAATGTAATATATCAGTACCATAGATTTACCATGGTAACTACAAAGTACTTTCTGTACGGAATTTAATAAACGTTATAAAGACTCTCCTGCAGTATATCTGAACAAATACAACATTTAAAGTAATTATACTGAGTAAATGCGTAAAACTAGCAGAGTAACGAATTTCATTTGTATTCTATGCTGATGTTCTAATCTAAAATCTTACATTTTAAATATTTTCTTCTACTTTTTTCACCATTTGCAGTTTTATCTCTTAGTTTGAACAACAAAAACACTGTAGTTTAATATCTGAGGACATATTTGTGTTTCTATATTTGATCTCACCTCTCTGCTGAGCCTCCACACAAACCAGTGAGGAGAAAATCACTGCAAACGACCACAGCATCTTCCTCATCAGTCACTCTAAAATAACTCAACTAATAATCTACGTAATGAAGCTGAAATCGTGCTGAAATCATCAGTTTTGTGCAGATGTCCATCGGTTCTGCTCCTTCTTTCTTTCTTTCTTTCTCTCATTCAAACTCCAGTCGCTTTCATTGAGTGCCGCTGCACTGAACCCCGCTGGAATGTTCCATTAGTTCAGAGGGGGAGGGGGGGAGTCCCGCTGGAATGTACCATTAGTTCAGAGGGGGAGGGGGGGAGTCCCGCTGGAATGTTCCATTAGTTCAGCGGGGGAGGGGGGGAGTCCCGCTGGAATGTACCATTTTCTCATGAGACGGACATTTTGGTTTAATTTGCGTTATAGTTACAGTTTTACAGCACACTTTTGGCTTTTTTGTGACGTTTATTATCATAGATAATTCGTGGTGTTTGTTATACAAGCGTCGCTGTCATTATCGCTCATTATTTTCCACACACCTATCTTGAGATCGTAGAGTAAACAATTTACCTCAAGAACCTTTAAACCGCTTAACAAAGCGGTGGCGGGAAATCCAGTCAGGCCTCAACTCTAGCATCTCCATAGCAACGCGCGCTAAAAATCACTCGGTGATTACTGTGATTATTATGAAAAATATCTAGCTAAACGACTCCCAGCACTTAACACTATATAAATTAGGTGTTCATTTTTATTTTACATAAGTTGTTGTTAATATGCATCCACTTTGCTATCAAATACGTCCTTTGTTATTTTATTTAGTTTTTTTAATAAACCACTATAATTAAATTTTTTCAAGCCGTACATTTGCGACAACAAACTGCGAGAAAAGCTGCTGTGAAAAATGCATAGGGGTCAGTGTGATGGCGATCAGATTCGTGAAGGGGTCGAATTATATGATCAATTCGTTTTTTGAATCTGTCTACCCGGTTTTAGCGAAAATATCTGATCATTCATTAAAGGGATAGTTCACCCAAAAATGAAAATTAGCCCATGATTTACTCACCCTCAAGGCATCCTAGGTGTATATGACTTTCTTCCTTCAGACGAATCCAATTGGAGTTATATTAAAAAATGTCCTGGCTCTTCCAAGCTTTATAATGGCAGTGAATGGGTGTTTTTGTTCAACAGTTCAAAAGAAGTCCAATAAAGTGCATCCATCCATAATAAAAAGTGTTTCACACGGCTCCAGGAGTGAATAAAGGCCTCCTGTAGTGAATCATGCGGTTGGATCATTCTTTTCTTTTTACTGTTATCACCTGCATATTGTCAAAGTGTCTAATTCTAACGTTTGGTAATACTTCTATTCAAAATCGAGATTCCTCGATTTATAAAAAATACAATCGTGGCAAAACATTAAATTCCAATTAATCACTAAAATCGCCCAGCCCTAGCTTCCCGCATACGACAGTCAGTGGAAGTCAGAGAAAACTGTTCATAACATTTTAAATATGGATATTTTTCTTACAAAAAACGCATTGATTCACTTCAGTAGGATTTTATTCATACCCCCGGTTGCTGTGTAAGGCACGTTTTATTGGATGCACTTTATTGGAAGGATGCGCTTTATTTGACTTCCTTTGAACTGTTGAACAGAAACACCCACCCACTGCCATTATAAAGCTTGGAAGAAGAAAGTCATATACATCTAGGATGCCTTGAGGGTGAGTTAACCATGGGATAATTTTCATTTTTGGGTGAACTAACCCTTTAATTTAACAAATTATCTGAATCTATGACAGTCTGATCTCCACTGGGAAATGTAAAGAGAAGTTGTTCCACTAATTTTCAGTCTGTGTTTATTAAATAATTCATATTGTCTCAATAATTATGAACAGTGTGAAAAGCTGAAGATTTGTTAATGCAACAACTTCTCCGCTTCACCGAACAGAACACAGAACAGTTTGTTTTTGTGATAGCAAACAGTAGAAGTCAAATAATAATATTTTCACATTTTCTGAAAGAAAATAGGAGTGGCTGCCAGGGCATTGTTATGCATTAGCTTTGCTGTGCTGTTGCTCAACAATTCCTGTTTTCTGTGGTTTTTAGCATTTTTTTTTTTTTAGATATGTTAGATTTAATATAAGTTTGTTTAATAGTTGTTCTTATTTTTTTTCTCATGAGCTACTTGAGTAATTTTCCATAAAGAAATCTTTACTTTTACTCAAGCATGATGATTGAATACTTAATAACAATAATGAGTTAATTACACTTTTTAGTGCAAAATACAATAATATTATCACTATTATTATTGATTTCTGTCTTTGAATGTTCAACTTCACTTTGCAATCACTTATTTCCTGCATGAAATTCAAATATAGTTTCTATATTTTCACCTCATATCTGTCATATCTTGTAGTTTAACTCTACTAATGTCATTTGAGAAAGTCAAATATGATACATTGTCTCAAAAATGCATGACTGATGATTATCTGAGCTGCAGATCTTTACATTTGTGTTTTTTGTGTGGGTTTTGCTGCCATCTTCTGGAAAGCATCTGGATGTGCAGGCTGGCCTGTTGAAATCTGACCTCACATGAACTCTTGAAGCTCAAGCTGGACCTCATCAAGGTCTGTGGTGTTTTTGCTGTCTTTGAAGGTTACATCATGATGTCCGTCATACCTGAAAACAGTGTCTTGACAGTGGGGGGGTGGGGGGCTTGAACAAAGGCCTTCTGTAGCGAATCGATGCGTTTTTGTAAGAAAAATATCCATATTCAAAACATAATAATCACTTTAATGTAGCTTGCGCTCACTGTTGTACACGGAAGCAGCTCTGGGGGAATGACGTATAAAGTCAGCTTTGCGCATGCGCCGCTCAGAAGTGACGAACGCAGAAGCGCAGCGGAGAGATCAAAACAAAACAACGGTCACTAATTAGAAGTACAAAACGAGGATTTGTAAAGAAGAATGTCGGAGAGACATAAGCCAAGAGGAGACTGGTTTTCCTTTGCTAAAGTAAGGAAACTTTGCTTCCTTTACTCCTCTTAACAAACGTTAATGCGCAGTGCGCAGTGCTGACCTCATACGTCATCCTCCCGGAGCTGCTTCTGTTTACAACTGCTGGCGCAAGCTACAGTAAAGTGATTATTATGTTTTGAATATGGATATTTTTCTTACAAAAACGCATCGATTCGCTACAGGAGGCCTAAAGATCATGTTCCATGAAGATATTTTGCAAATTTACTACTGTAAATACATCAAAATTTAATTTTTGATTAGTAATATGCATTGCTAAGAACTTCATTTAAACAACTTTAAAGATGATTTTCTCAATATTTCGATTTTTTTGCACCCTCAGATTCCAGATTTTCAAATAGTTGTATCTCGGCCAAATATTATCCTATCCTAACAAACCATACATCAATGGAAAGATTATTTATTCAGCTTTCAGATGATGTATAAATCTCAATTTCGGAAAAATTTACACTTAAGACTGTTTTTGTGCTCCAGGGTCACATATTTGTGAAGGACATGTGCTGAATTCCAAATTAAACCATATAAAAATTACCCTGTTCAAAAGTTTACACCCCCTTGACTCTTAATACTGTGTTGTTACCTGGATGATCTACGACTGTGTTTTTTGTTTAGTGATAGTTGTTCATGAGTCCCTTGTTGGTCCTGAACAGTTCAACTGCCTGCTGTTCATCAGAAAAATCCTTAAGCTCCCACAAATTCTTTGGTTTTCCAGCACTTTTGTGTATTTGAACCCTTTCTAACAATGATTATGATTTTGAGATCCATCTTTTCACACTGAGGACAACTGAGGGACTCGTATGCAACTATTACAGAAGGTTCAAACGCTCACTGATGCTCCAGAAGGAGAAACCATGCATTAAGAGACGGGGGCTGAACACTTTTGAACATAATGGAGATGTGTACATTTTTTTAAATTTTGCCTAAATATAATATTTTTTTCAATTAGTACTGCCATTCAGAGGCTACAGAAGATACTTACATGTTTCCCAGAAGACAAAATAAGTTAAATTTACCCTGATCTTCAAATTCAGTCTTAATGCATGGTTTTTCCTTCTGGAGCATCAGCGAGCGTTTGAACCTTCTGTGATAGTTGTGTTTGAGTCCCTCAGTTGTCCTCAGTGTGAAAAGATGGATCTCAAAATCATACAGTCACTGTTAGAAAGGGTTCAAATACACAAATTGCTGGAAAACCAAAGAATTTGTGGGATCTGAAGGATTTTTCTGAAGAAAAGCAGGCAGTTTAACTGTTCAGGACAAACAAGGGACTCATGAACAACTATCACTAAACAAAAAACAAAACAACAGCTGTGGATCATTAGGGTAACAACACAGTATTTAAAATGTAAACTTTTGAACGGGGTCATTTTTAGAAATGTAATCCTTATTTTCTCTTGTGAACTATATGTAAACATCTTTTATGTGAAATATCTTATTCAGGTCAGTACTAAATAAACAATAACATGCATTTTGGATGATCCCTCTTATTTTGGTCAAATAATGAACATTTAGCAGATTCTGTAAACTTTTGTCCTCAACTGTATGTTTCTGGTCAGTGTAAGGGTTTGTTCAGCAGGGGGCAGTGGCGGCTGATAAACTGGACTCTTCTGACTGAGTTTTTCCTTCTCTCTGTTTTATTTTGTGTTTCAGTGCTTAGCAACCCTGAGAGAAATACTCTGCTGTTATGACCGCTCCACTAACAGAGACTAAACAGCTGGCGGTGAGACACACGATGCACATTTACAGTAGTTTACATTCTGAAGAAAACAGCCTCTAATGAACGATAAACGTCATATGCTGACATTGTGCCACATCCATTACTGTCTGCTAGAGGAGAACATACTGCCATAAAAACATCATGCTTTTTGTTTGCAAGCATCATTACAGCAGGATCTGAGTGTAATTATGCCGTGAAGTTGATTTCCTCTCAGAATAAAGTTCAGCGCTGGCTGCTCTCCATGTTATTAGATGAACACTGAACTGGTTTGGCCTGTTTCTCATCATCAGGTCGGCCTCACGGCACGCTCTGTCTGGCTTCAGTTAAATTCTCCAAACTCTAATAATGGCACAGATGCTCTGACGCAGGCGTTTGGCTGCTGTGTTCGGCTTCATCAAGACCCGCTTCTGTTGCCTAGACCACCTGGACCTGATTGATCACAGTCACA